GGAGAGAGTGAAAATAAAGTTATAGACGAATCCCACAGTTTTCTTGACTCCTCTGTTAGATCTTTATATATCTTACATTTGGGTAACCTTAAATTATGCAACCAAACAATAAAGCTGAACAAACTAACCTTGGGAAGGCTAAAGAAATGACTGCTTTCCTAATGGAAATATCTGAAATTCCTCAGAAATACCATGAGAAACTAATCTTGATTTTGATCTGATTTTGCCAAATGATTCATGCATTCTGACTCAAGAAAATTAAACTTGTTGATTATAGTTTAGGTGTCTCCTCCTCAGCAAAGGGACTCCGTTTACTTTATTTACTTTCTCTAACCAGTGAGACACCGATGGAATCACCAGGTCAGGGAAATCAAGGGATTTTATTATCATTATCTACAATAAAACACACACTGCTGTTAGAACACCTTAGCAGAGAAATAACTAAGGAATAAAACCTATTTAATATAATACTAAAAATATTAATTAATGCAATACTTAAAATACTTAAAATAACAGTACTTAAAATACTCTGGCCTGGATAGAGAGTCTTCATTAGCAGTAAAAGACATTGGAAAGAATTTGACTTACAATTGATTACAAAAAAAAAAAAAATATATATATATAAATACATACGCATATATATGTGTATATATATAACAAAAGACTCTTGCCATCTGTTCCCTTTAACCGAGCCAATTGAGCACATGAYGCTAAGCAGATTGTCCAGATTGACACAGTCTCAATTTCTGATTCCTAGACTTGTTCCCTTTTTGACATGTGCAGCTGAAACCTAATTTAAAATGTTATTTCCAAAAGGTAAGGATGTTCCAGTAATTATCTGCTGCAGTTTTATGTAAGTGTTAACTTTCTTAGCTTGCTGATTCACTGCCATGATTTCTTCAGTAAGCAGGGTCCAAAAAAATGATGAGATTGCAAAACAGCCTGTGTTCCAAGATTAGAATTTGCTTTTGCTGTTCAAGCRGCACTGTTTAAGCCAGGCTTTTGGGTTATGCTGGCAGCGCTTCCTCTCATCCTTTAGGTAGAGGATTAGAAGGGATCAGGAGGTCAGAGCAGTGTGTAGAGGCAACAGTAGTTACTCCTGTTTGAGGAGCAAAGGTATTGCTTGTAATCTTTTGTTTTGCTTTTGGCTTGTTTGCTTCTCTGTAGGCATTTTGAGCCTGGAGGTGCTCTGCAATAGCAGCCTTTCTTTGGATCAGTGGATCAAATTGTGGGTGAAGAAAGAAGTAGAGGTGCCCCTGCTTGCTTGTAGCTGAGTCTGTGCAGGATGCCAAAGTGCTGCATGCTCCATACTCCACCAGCTCATTCTTAGGACTGCTGGAATAGTAAAATATATAAATGGAATAAATAGATTAAATGTATAAATAGGATAAATAGACTGCTAGAGAAGGCAAGGAAGGAAAATCTGGCAAGCCTAAGGTATAAACTGGAGCTTCAGTAGAGCATATTCAGATCACCTCCGTTTCTTACCTTATTGCTGCTCTTTCGGGCTGCTCTTGCAAAACACTGTCCTACTGTTATACCTGGCAGCAATTAGCCGAGGGAGCAGGCTCCTCTGGTCCCGTCACTTGGACCATACACGAGTGTTGATGACCTGGAAGGGTACCAGGTGCCGACCTGCCCTGGCCTTGAGTCAAACCACGGGTGCTCAACCCTTTCTTCTGCCTCAGGTTCCTTAAAGATGAGCCATGCCATGTGTTAACCCTCTCACACGTTAGTATCGAATCAGTTTAAGAAGGAACGTGATCCATCCCTATCAAAATCGGGTTCTGTGTGAGCAGTGGCAGCATCCGCAGTAAGAACAATGTAGCCTACATGTATTTTACATCAGAGAAATTCAAGACAGTAAAAGAACATATTTTGGCTAGCCTTAATCCTTAGTAATCTCCTAACGATTTACACAGCTGCTCGTTTCTGAAGGATAAATGCACCTCGCAGAGGAAAGGTCAATATCTGTAAGAGAAATGTTTTTTTCCTCTTTTGCTGTTTTCTTTGCCAGATCTTTTTTCCAGGCAGAGGCTGTTTACTTGTTTGCTTGTTTGTTATAAATTGTTCTGAGCTAAGAGGTAAATCAAGGGCTTATTCTTTTTTTGTTTGTTCTTGACTTTTTTTAAGGTGAGGGGTACTAGTGAAGTTAACTGAAGAAATCCCAGCATCCTGCTTTCTGCAAAAAGAATAAATTTCACAAAGCTACACCAGTTGACAGAACATATCCAAGGGATAGAAATTTCTTTATCCTGGGTTCAAGGATGCTTCAGACAAAGGACTTGCATTGTGATTTATTCCAAGCTCTGCTTGAATATAGTATACTTCAGCATGGATCATTTTATAACATAGCTCCTTGATAAAAGTATTATTATGATAAAAGTATTATTCTGCCCTGATTGTCTATTGAAGTGAAGCCTCTTGCTCTGTTCTTTGTGCCCCAAAGAAGGCATTTACATACTGGAGAGCTCTAATTCATCAGCCCCCCATCTGCTCTTGCTTTAGTTTTGATTTATGATAGAGTTTAAAAATAGAGAGCTCTTAATGTGACCTCCACACGCTCTGGCAAGTCCTTCTCTTGTATTCCAGGATTCAGGAGCCAGGTCTAGAGCAAGAAAATCTGTCATCTTCCCTCTCTTGCCCTGGGTGACAYGGGCAGGGTTCAGCTGCTGTGGCTCTGGCTCCATGGGTGAAACTACCATGGAACCATTTACATCCCATCAACCACTGCTTATAAAAGCCATGGTCATTTGGCAGAAGTTATTGTTTAGGGATGCAGCAGGTTCTTTTAAGATTGGACCTGTACTCAACAAATTGGAAGAGTTAGGGAGTTTAGACTGAAATGCAACTGCATGAAGTGGTGTGGACACAGGTAGATAAGTAGAAAAGGGTTAAGAAGATCTTCATTGAGGTGAAATTATCACAGTTCTGCATATTTATTCTAAAGAAGAAATGGAAGAGCAACATGCTGAAGGAGAACTGTACCATTGACTTGCACAGAAAGAGTAGGAAATGTTCTATGAACAAGCTAGACAAAGAGAAGAACCTGTGAAGGGGAGCTGCCAGCATGTATTTTATTAATCCTTTATTACAGATATTTGAAAGAGTATCTTGCAAAGGTACAAGAGGTAGAGGTGAGGCAAGTCTGTTTTTTATAACAGAGGTAAGCTGTATTTTGAAAGTGAAAATGGAAAATGTCCGAGCGTGTAGAAATATTTCCTTATGTTGGTAATATTAGCAACTCAAATAAGCTGTCCTTGGACATGCTGACCTTTTTCTCTCTGTGGTGCTCCAGTTAAATCACTGGATGGATTTGAGGGGTTTTCACCACCTAAATGGAGAACGTGGTCTGGCCCTCCAGCTCTGAGCCATCATTGCTACTTGAATCCAAGGAAGAGGAGGAGGATGAAATGCTAGTACTTCTTTTGGATCGCATGCCTTCATTACCTCCCACTTGGAAAATAATGCAGTATGGCTTGGCCCAAAGACATCGGCCCTAAGGAAATCTCGGCAAGTGAAGATACTAATTTGAGAGAAGCCTGAAATACTGCGGAAGAGAAYGAAATAACAAAGGAACCTTGTAACTTGGAAAAAGAACAGCAAATTGATCTTAGGATCCATTTCATCAATGGAAATATGAAAAAAAATGAAATAATGAGGCATGTAATGTAAGAAGGATGGATTTSTTGATAGCATATATAGGAGCTCTTCTAAATATATTATGCTCCATTCTGGCATAAGGGTGATTTTTTTTTTCTTTTCAATTATCATCCCCTTTGTCAGCAAACAAACAGATAGGATGAGTGTTAGGCTTGACTTGTGCGGAAAGGTCCACARAGGTGCATATGTCCTGCTTGGCTGTGTGTACCGATAGCATCGAATAGAGCAAATCACAGCTAGCTGAATAATGCAGAGGGAATTACCCTGGAAACATGTTGAGATGCTGAGACCAGCGAGTAGCTTCTTCCCAGCCAAAGGTCTGCGCTAACGTAGAGATACCACCGGAGAAGTGCAACGTGCAGTGAAGGGGACCTGGGATGCCACTGGGAGAACAATCCCAGGAGGGCATCAGAGGAAAGAGACAGGAGAAGAAATCATCAGTTGGTGTCATGTTGCCAGTTAACATGGGCAAGGGTCCAGCAGAAGGACTTTAAGTAGGAAAAAGAGGAGTTATTCAGGAGGTAAGAGGAAGGGGTGAAAGCTGCCTGGTTGCTTCATCAGGTGACTTCCAGCATCACCCTTGCTCAACCTGCGCTGAGCTCGATGGCACGCGTGGCTCTACTGGGCCCCAGTGAAAGCTTCTGACAGCGGTGGTGAGCCTCTGTGATTGATTGACTGATGGTATCCCCATTCCCACCCTTTCCAACATACATCTGCAAGCCCTGAAAGGGACAAATGCCAGTTGGCCATGCGGTTCGGAGGGCTGAGGTCCAGTTGGCTGCCAGCGGGTTATTCACACTGGAGCAGGAAGCAAATTTCTTGCTGCAATTACCCTCAACTTTCTACTGTTTACCCCAGGAATAAACTTCTTGCTGCTGTAAAACACCCCGCTCACCAGTCCAGAAGTAAGTATGGAAGAAGCGAATGTCAGCCAGTTGGTCAGTGGCCAAACAACTGGCCACCAGCCAGCTGGCACCTCTCATTCAGAACGGAGTCGGGCTTTCAGTGCTTTGCTGCAGATAACCTGCCTGGCATTTTCTCTTGKTTTGCCCTGCAAATACACCAAATGTGACACGCTGAATCACTTATTCCCAGCTAACCGGGCAAAAYAGCTCTTCACTCTCCCACGGCTCTCCAGAGATACCAGGACACCGTGTRCAAGGCAGAGCCAACTTATGTGAGGGACAGAAGCGGGATCTGGAAGAGAACTGCAAGCGAGTTGGACAAGGGCACAATAATTCCCATGGAGATGTACAATCGGTCTCTCTTTCCTCATCCTAACCATTTTGGGAATGGGCTGGGACCTAGAGGGACCAGGTCCTTTCCAGGCAAGTGATATGGACGTTCTCGTGGTGATGCATGGGCCATCGTGTAGTCATGAAGCCCCTTCCCATGGGATGCTACCCACATGGGGGCCATTGGCACGTTGGGAAGGCAGTTGGGTGGGTGGGGATGACATTCCTTGGGTTGGATGAAGTCAGCCTGCACTGAGCAGGGGGCCCTTCCACTTTGCCACCACTTCTTTGCTGTTGAAGATAGACCTGTCTCCAAATTGCCATGCAGAGTGCCTCTGTTTCCGTCTCTCTAAATTCACCATACAGTGGTGGAGCCAATTTTGGACACTGGGAGTAAATAATGTTAGTTTTTCTCCTTGGCGTTGTTACCCTCATAAAGAGCAATAAGAGAAGCAGGTGAGTCCCTGTGGCATTTTGCAAAATATCCCAGGAAATAAAAGGTTTGCTTGAAGAACCTAGGAGGAGAGGATCCTTTAGGCCCTTTAAAAAAAGCAGCAGGAATATGGTGTGCTGCACGGGGTTGACAGCGATAAGCAGCAGAAAGCAGCCAACTCCAGAGCCCTGCGAGTGTTCGGCTGCTGTCTGGGAGATATTAGCAATTGTATCAGGTTGCATGCCTGACTTTTTTCCCTTTTTCCGTGAGGAATGCGGCTTAGCTCAGCAAGCTCACATCCTTCAGGTTACCACGCAAGCCCTTTGTTAGACACTTCACTAGCTCTGGCCTCCACAGGAACAGCAGTCCAGGGATGTGTCCCTGCATCAGGGCACGTGGCCATGGACACCCCGTCCTGCAAGGCTGCGCTTTGGCAAAGGAGCTGGCGGCAGACATGGAATAAATCGGCTTGCAAAGACCCAAGGACCCACTGCTTTTCCACCTCCTTAGAGCGTTTCTCCCAGGTCCTGGCAAGGTTGGAGCAGAGGCTCTTGTGCCCTTGTTGCCACCAAGTACCTCTGCTGGCAGGAGGTGCTGGGTTACCCCTTCCACAAGCTGCTTTGCACCTAGAGCAGTGGTAAGGAGAAGAGCAGTGGTAAGGAGAAACCAGGCTGTATGTCCTGGGCGTGGAGAGGTGCAGCRTGCTCACAAAAGGCAAGGGTGAAACCATCTCAGAGCCTCATCCCAGGGCCTGCTACCTTCTGCAGGAACGTCTGGCAGCTCCAGGCAACCTCAGGAGCTCGTGAATAGGGACACAGAAATCTTCCGCAAGCAAAAAGAGCGTTTTTTTGAAAAGTCTCGAGGGATAAGGCTGAAAAATTATCACATCTAAT